TCCTGTTTAACAGAGAGGGGATTTTTAGTAGAACAAATTTAACTCTGTTACTTGGAGTTACTTCAGAATGTTGTGTTAAGTGTGAGTTTACTCAAGAAAGTTAACGTTATGTCAATTGTGGTTCCATGCAACTGTATGGTTTAAAAGTAATCTAACATTTCAGTGAACTATTGCTTTGGGTTTGCCCTGAGTGTGAGAACACTTTATATCTTCAGCTCGCTCCTTTTTGTGGTAGCCACTGCTTGCATAGTAGTGCATTATTTCTTTCAAGCCATTGATATGATTTGCAAAACATGATAATTTGATGTGCTTTCTGTTATGCAGAGTCACCTTTCTATGGATGTGGTGCCATGCAGTGGAAATGCAAGTTTTGCTCATTTTCTTCTGACAAGAGAGCACAGCTTTTCAAACATTATCGTTTAAGTCATGGAACATACTCACGGATTGCGCCTATACCATGCCTCCATTCAGAATGTCTGTGCACTTTTAAGTCTTTCAATGCATTGAAAGTGCACTTAAGTAGAACTCATTCACAATGGGATGGTGAATCAAGTACACCTGCACAAGCTCAAATATCTTACCAGTGTCATCTTTGTGACTTTATTGAGCCATGCACAGAGGCAGATTATTTTTCACATTTGCGTAAACACTTGAAGGCTAACCAGAAAGTTCAGTGTCCCTTCCAAGACTGTTCTTTTGAGACAAATGTCTATTCAACTTTTAATGCGCATAAAAGTAAGATGCATCAACAGCAACGGAGTGAGCAATTTAGACCAGGAATTGTTTCAAATATTAACAATAATAATAATGAGTATTGTCTTCAATGACAGTTCAGGCAGTGAAGATGAACTTGGAAGTGAAGAAGGAAAAGACAACTTGGATGAGTTAAAACATCAGCTAGAACACAACTTGGCTTCTCTTTTCTTGAAAATGCAGACAGTCATGCATATTTCAGACAATGCGACACAAGAAATAGTCCAGCAGTTAAATCAAATTCATTTGTTTTCTAAGCCAGTGATATGTGGGGCTATACAGAAGATATTCAGGGAGCACTCAATGGATGTAGACAGCACATTGGTAAAAAAGCTCATCAAAGCAGTTGCTGGAAATAATGTGCTAGTTTATTGTACCAAAGACGATGGACCTCTTTCAACTGTCAATGGTAGAGGGATCATATTTTTTGACAGAATTTCCAGTTGTCATGCCTGTTGTATATACAATAGTCCTGTGTTTATGTCCCAATTCTTCAGATGCTACAGAAATTGTTGAATAAACCAGAAATTCTGGACAAGGTGCTGACATCAGATGATTCCTCAGGGCAGAGTTACAAGGATGGCACATATTACAAAGAAAACTAATTTTTCCTGGAACACGAATGTAGAATAGCTCTTAATCTTTACATTGATGATTTTGTAATGATGATGAATAATAATCCTCTCGGGACATCTAGGAAGAAACACAAGATTTGTGCAGCCGATATTTGGAGCCGATACTCTTTTGCTCCCTCAATTTAATCATTAGAAAAAGGTGAAAATAAATTGTGAAATACAATATTTTAAGCATAAATAAATAATGACAACCTATTGCCACACAGTTAGCAAATAATATCTCTAAAATCAGTCAAGTACTCTTTACCCCACACAGAGGAGTTTCAAAGACATTATTGGTGATTTGTACTTACTTGCAGTCATTCAGTAATCTTACCTGAAATCTAAGAGTAAACTTACTTGCAGTCATTCAGTAAGCTTACTTAAAATCTAAGTAAACTTACTTAAAAACAATCTGTTCACCTAACTTTTAGTTGTTTATTAGTTTAACTTTAATTTGGCTTGGAAGTTTACTTGAACTTGAACTTGAAATGAGGCAATCGGTTTCCCGACTTTTTTTAAGTAAACTGAACTAGTTAGAATTTACAGTGTGTATATCAGATTTGTTTTAAATTTGGATTTAAAACAAATCTGGATTTAGTAATTGATATGTCAGTAACAGGGTTGACAAAACACATATGTATAAGTATGTTGATTATATGTGAAAAAAAAAAAAAAAATCAGATGGCCTGAGTTGGCACGGCACATTTTTCTGAGAGGTAAGGATATACTTCATCCAAAAAGGGGCTTAAAGACTTTTAAAACAGTACTTTGATAATCAAACATTAAGAATGGTAAATGGCACGTTTTTGTTGTTAGCTAAGATCCCCATGGTTTTCATCACTAGAGTAACGTAAACTTTGTTTTTTCTTTTTGTTAGCTGACGTTAGAGTTCAGGTTAGTTTTTAAGCGCGCAATGAGGGAACAGCCGACTAAACACCACATTAAAGAGAGAATAACCATGAAAATATTTTAGCTTCTTCACATTTACATGTAAGGTCTCAGGGATTAAAAAGTAAAGTTGACAAGAAAAACCTCTTTAGTCCATCGGTAAAAAGAGTAATCAATGCTAGGTAAAGCTAACAAGTTGATGCCCATAGCTTTGTATTTACTGTACAGACATGACAGTGGTAGCAGTCATATCACCTAACTCAGCAAAAGGCCTAGAGTAGACTAGATGCCACAAAATCCTTCACATTGGACCTTTCAAGGCTGTGGATAATCTGTCAACTGTGTGCAGTGGTTACATGTAACTTTCTGTGTATCTAAGAAAGTTATGAGAAAAAATATGTGCTACACTATGTATGTGTAACTGCTGCTACACACTTGTAAGAAGAAAGAATGTGCTCAGACCATGGTGTGTATGGTTTTCGTTTAATAATAAGAGAACAGTTCAAATACTGATATCTATGAGTGGTCTAGAAACTGCTAGTAAAAAACAGACCTAGCACCTTCAGTAGCTCTTTGTGTTTTATGTTACAGGTCTCCCTAACACTGTGTAAATGGAAACGACTGATGTCCTGAAAAAATCAATGCAGAGAGGCTTATTTTGCCCTCTCGTCCTGAGACTGTAAATTCCCTTATATTTGAGGTGAAAAATAAGTTGAATCTGGCCTATGGCTTTTGCCTTCAGTTTCAAGACCCGGAGTTTGACAATGCCCTTTGTACTTTAGTTAACATAGAGGACCTACCATCCAAAGCAACAATTAAGATCAATTCAATTTGTTGAGTCAGATCTGAGTTCATCCAGCACAGATGACACAGTGTTGATGTCTGTGTCACGACTCCCCGGCTGTGATGACCGTTTGGGTGTTTTGTGTTGT